TGGGGAGTTAGAAGAGGACATTTATATGGAGCAACCTGAAGGTTTTGTTGTTCCTGGAAAAGAGAACCTAGTCTGTAGGTTGAAGAAATCTCTTTATGGGTTGAAGCAATCACCTAGACAGTGGTATAAGAGATTTGACTCTTTCATGCTTTCTCAGAAGTTTAGAAGATCCAATTATGATAGCTCTGTTTATCTCAAAGTTGTTGATGGTTCAGCTATATATTTGCTTCTTTATGTCGATGATATGTTGATTGCTGCAAAAGACAAATTAGAGATAGCAAAGTTGAAGGCACAATTGAGTAGTGAATTTGAGATGAAGGATTTGGGTGCAGCGAAGAAAATTCTCGGTATGGGAATTACTAGAGAAAGACGTTCTGGCAAGTTATATCTTAGTCAGAAAGGTTATATTGAAAAAGTTCTTCGTCGTTTCAATATGCATGATGCAAAACCAGTGAGTACTCCTTTAGCTGCACATTTCAGATTATCTTCAGATTTATGTCCACAGTCAGATTATGATATTGAGTACATGTCTAGAGTTCCTTATTCAAGTGCAGTTGGTTCACTTATGTATGCCATGGTATGTTCTCGTCCTGACTTATCACATGCATTGAGTGTTGTCAGTAAATACATGGCTAATCCTGGCAAAGAGCATTGGAAAGCTGTTCAATGGATTTTCAGATACCTACGTGGTACATCTAGTGCTTGTTTTCAGTTTGGGAGATCTAGAGATGGACTTGTTGGTTATGTGGATTCAGATTTTGCTGGAGATTTGGATAGAAGAAGATCGCTCACAGGTTATGTTTTCACTATTGGAGGATGTGCTGTTAGTTGAAAGGCAAGTTTGCAAGCAACTATTGCCTTATCTACTACTGAAGCAGAGTATATGGCTATTTCTGAAGCTTGTAAAGAAGCTATTTGGCTTAGAGGTTTATACACTGAGCTTTGTGGAGTTACGTCTTGCATTAATATATTTTGTGATAGTCAAAGTGCAATATGCCTTACAAAGGATCAGATGTTCCATGAGAGAACAAAGCACATTGATGTGAGATATCACTTTATTCGAGGTGTGATTGCTGAAGGTGATGTCAAGGTATGCAAGATAAGTACTCATGATAACCCAGCTGATATTGTGACAAAGCCAGTTCCTGCTACTAAGTTTGAGCTTTGCTCAAGCTTGGTTGGTGTTACAGTATAGTCCTAGAGACTATTTGGCGCGCGGTGATTTTACCTACATGAGGTATTTTTTTGTGGTTGATGTTTTTATGCTACAAGAGGAAATTCGTCTCAAGGTGGAGATTGTTAAATATGTGATCCGAATTTTGGGCCCACAATATATTCGGATTAGTTTTCTAGTAGGATTAATTTCCTAGTAGGAGTTCCTATTAGGTTTCCTATTAGATGTCTTTCTATTATCCCCTATATATACTCTTGTAAGCCGTACGGGAAGGGGAGACGTTCCCATTGTTATTCCCCTACGTTTGTAATCATCTCTTCTATAGTGATCATTGCCGGTCGGCGCCCGTGGTTTTTTCCCGCAAGGGTTTTCCACGTAAAAATTCGTGTCTCCGTTGCGCATCTATTTTCATAACAGGACATATGAGTATTGATTTGGTTTCGGCTCTTCTTCAGATTTGTACTGTCCCAATATTTATTTGTATTCATCTCTTCTTCAGATTTGTACTGTCCCTATTCAATAGGATTGAAATTTATTTGGATTTGTCACTTCTTCAGTTTCTACTGTCCCTATTCAACACGACTGACATTTATTTGGATTTGTCTCTTCTTCAGATTTATACTGTCCCTATTCAACAACATTGAAATTTATTTAGTATGTACGATTTGTTAAATGAGCCAATTCATGTTCATGGTATTCATGGTATTTTATGACGACTCTAAAGATCATATATATGCATATACCGGTTTTATGTATTGTTGTGCCTTAATTTGTTTTATTTCTGAATACTCCGGTTGCAGATCATTTGCTATTAGTAGATTAGATACTGTCGTTGTAGCAGCAGCTCTGGGCTACCACTGAGGTCAGTCGCCATGGCCATCCAAAGCAGCAGTTGCAGCATATATTTCCTCTGATATTTTTTGAAACAACCCGCACAAGATAGTGCGACGTTTCTATTGATAAAGGAGGAATAAAATACAAGCCTATAGTCCTGGGAGACTATAGTCAGGAAAAAGAAAATATACAACCACACCACGCGTCTACGTCTGATCCTACTGCTTAAAACAAAACAAGCACACAACACCCCAAAGGAATATGACTTCTAAACGATGCCTCCAAGAAGGAAAACGACGCCAAAAGCGCCGCCGCCGTCCGTCCTAGGTAACCAGGACGAGGTTTTCACCTGAAGAACCCACTGGGAAAATAGAAAAACACGGCAACGCCCCAAGGGGAAAACGGCGCCCGCAGGCGTCGCCGTTGCCGGCCCGAAGGCTAGGCTTTCGCCCGTTGTTCTACTCTCCCGCGTTAAAAAGTGCATGCCAGTTCAGCAGAACTACCATCTAATCCCCTTCGACGTGCAGCCACCGCGCCGACGCCTCGCCGCCGGCCAGCCATCAAAGAAGAGTCTCAACCTTCACCGCGCTTCACGTCCATCCACGTGGTTGGGTTGGAGAGGGAGAGGGTGAGAGAGAAGAATGGATCCCCTCTCCCCCGCACTCGCCCGTCCAGCGTGGCCATCTTTCGGCGGCAAGCCGCCACCGCAAGAGGGCAGACACCTGGAAGGAAGCTCGCCCTAGGCTTGAAAACCCCCCCTCACAGCATGACCGTCGCCGCCGCCTCGACCAGACCGCCCGTGTCAACAGGTGCTTGGTCGCATCGCCGTCGCCTCTGTCCTCCTCACTGCAGCCATCGCCTCACCGTCACCACCGCCGACGGCCTTCACCACCGCCGATCCGTCGCGCCGTGCAGCCGTCCCCTGTCGGAAGCTGTGCCACGTCGCCCTCCGCCGTTGTTGACCGAGCCTCCGCTGCGGTCGCCACCGCGGCCTCCGCTGTGGCCGCCACCGCGGCCTCCACGCACGCCGGCCTCCAGCCGCGCCTCCCCGTGCGCCGGCCTCCGCAGCCTCCAGTCGTATCGCCGTCCGCGGCCTCCGCACGCGTCGGCCTCCAGCCGCGTCTCCCCGCGCCATCCTCCACCGCCTCCGCCACCATGGCCTCGCCGTCGCCACCACGTCCTCGGCACGCGCCGGCCTCTTTCGCCGGCGGCCGCCAGCCGCCAGCCGCCGCCGCCTCCGGCTCTCGTCGTCGCCGCCAGCCACCAGCCGCCTCCGGCTCCGTCGTCGTCGCCGCTAGCCGCCGCCGCCTCCGGCCAAATCCGGCGTGGATCCACCGGATCCAACCGCGGGGAGGCCGGATCCGGCCGCAGCGGCGCCGGATCCACTGTCTCCACGCCGCGTCGTCAGCCTTGCACCGTGCGCCGGCCCGCCATCCACGCGCGGAGACGGGGCGCCGTCGGGGGTTGGCCTCGCCGCCACCATCCCGGCTGGCCGTGCGGTTCTCCAGCAGCGCGCTCCGGCGGCGGCGAGGGGAGGGAGAGGAGGAGAGAGTGGCGGCGGCGGCGCTAGGGTTTCCCCCCGTGTCGCCCACGCGTGGGCGAGGCGGGGGCGAGCTCAATTCTAAGTGCACGTATGATTTATTGATCATATTTCCTCTGATATGAATCCTCTATCAAGAAAATATCAACAATACTATCGGTAATGTTTAATTGCCTCATATTCATTCATGGTCATGTTTTCCAAATATTATTATATCCCCACCCTACGTTACTTGCTTTGCAATTTCTTCCATAAGAACAAATGAACAATATCATATTTTCTGCAGACTATCAGGGACTGAGTTCAGCAATGAACTTAATTTTGATAAATTTGGTCCTTGGATCTGTTCATTTTCTTTAGATAAAGGGCAACACCCTCTGCATCCTAAGGTGGATGCACCTTGCATCTGTCCATGCTAACCTTCTTTGCTATATGATGTTTTTACTTAACAGTTTGTGATGGATGTAACTTAATTCTTCATCTTTCCCTTCTTTCTTAGTAGAATATAAAAGATGTTCTTTGTAATAGCACACAATTAAACATTTTGTCAAATAATAGGAGATTCATCATGTAAGTGCAACTTTTGTCTACAAATTTATCTGAGTTTTATGGGCTGGATGTTATTTTCTTTCTATCGACGCAATCTCTCTGCCCTAACGAATGATTAGTATCCTCAAGAAAGAAAAAATTAAGATAGGGAGTTTCTGATGCTTTGTTTAGATATGGTAGCTATACGTTTTCAAAGATAGAAAATGTTCAATTTTTTTGGCTTTCAGTTTACTTTATGGTATAGGATGGTAAGGGGTTGAGCAATGTTGATCCAATTTTTTTGTTTGAACGACTCGCACGAGACGATGTGAAGTTCTATTGATAGAGCAGGAAATGTTGATCCAATAAGTTAGTAAGGGATTGCATTATGTTTATAAATTTTTCACATTAATCATAAAAGATATATTACCTCACATGTAGACCATTTTAACTGAAGAAAGGCCAATAATAATCAAAATTATTCTCTTACATTGCTATAACTATTTGAGATATTTTATCTCAAACTTCACCTTTGTCGGGCATTCCGTTTATATTTCTTCCAACAATATACTAATTAATATTGTTTGCTGAGATAAAATAAAATAATCATTTTCCATGGCTATCTATTGCATTTGCCTTGCATCTCCACATATACAAATCCCGCAGCAATACGCGGGGTATTTTCTAGTTGTATTCGTTTTCGTATCCGAGAAATTAAATCCAAATTCGTTTCTGAATCCGAGAAATTTCGGATAGTTCCGATCGAATTTTTCTAAATCTGAAAATTGGTCCGGGCGGACGGAAACTATCCGAACCAGTTTCATCCATACCTGAGCTAACTGATGCACACTGTAAAAGTTGAGGGGCTCGGTAGCCACAGGATAGAGCACGGATGGCATCGGAGAGGGGTAAGTCAGCCTCTGACTTTGCTCTGGGCTCTGGCACGTTAGAGAATCCACGCCGCTCGGGAGCGGGGAGGAGAGAAGAGAAGCAAGCAACACCACCGCCAAAGCGCGGCGGGCGTTGGCGATGGCGATGGCGGGCCACGCCCCCGGAGGAGCGCTCCCCCTGATCCTCCTCGTCGTCTCTTGCTGCGGTCGCATCGTCTCCGGAGCCTCCCCAGCCGCCGCCGCCCTCCGCCGCGTCGGCTCCGGCTCCGGCGGCCTCTGCGACCAGCTGCTCCTGCCACTCGGCTACCCCTGCACCGAGCACAACGTATGTTCCTCCTTTCCAGTCCCATCACGTTTGCCTTGTGTTCCTCCTTGTCCATGGGGATAGGGGAAGGGAGGAGCTAAATTGCTTGTTGAATTAATTAGCTACTACCAAGAGTACTACTTTTGGTTTGATAAGCTCTTTTTGTGCGGATAGAAATTGAGGTCGAACCGTGATTACCAACCAGTATCGGCTGCGGATCTATGCATGCATTCCTCCTAGGTTTTGCTTGCTTGCAGAGTTGCAGTTGCATGATACTATTTTCTCTATTTTCATTAGCCCTGAACATTGATATTTTCATTAGCGCTGAGCATTGAGCTCAAGCGAGGAGAAACAGTGTTGACAATGCATAAACAATGTACGAGTGTGTCTCAAGTCAAAGGGAGCAACACCTACTTGTCGACTCGTGGATGTTCGTTACTCTCAGGCAAAGCAAACTCCCATCCTTTATCTCAACTCCAAGTAAATGATATACTTGCCTTCTGGTTGGCTCTTCCGTTTGAAGCATAGTTTCAGGAATTCAGGCCCACTAGTCTTTGCAAAATACCACTCGACATCTGTCTGTACATGTGCATGATTATGCAACATGAACTCAGTGCTTCACGGTTTCTACTCCTATTTCTTGATGATGTGCACTCTGCTGAATTCTTGGTTACTTTGCACACCATTTATATGGTTCTAGTATTGGTTCAACTCTATACTGCTACCATATTCCTGTATTTCACAGCAAAAGGATTAGCTCTGTTGAACAAAGCTTGTGTCAGAGTTGACCATTGTCCATGGTTTGTCAGTCAGTTTGGATGAAACAATGTAGGACTGCGCTGGACTATTTCCTCAAGTATTCTTCTTGGTCTGATGTCTGCATGAATGAACTTTTATCACTTATCAAGTTGACTTGCTTGTGTGAAATGCGTCTTAGTATTTTTTTTTCCGGCACTCAAATGGGACCTATCTGTCCGTGGTTAATCCTAAACGCTGTTCTTGCCATCAACTTCTAGTATGGCCAAATTTTAAACTTATTAGGAATATAAGGTCAGAATATATGTTGCTAGTGTCCCATGGCAGAGCTCCGGTGATATCCTGCAGGGTTCCTCAGAGAGAAGCCCTTCCAATAGCTCCCATCCAGCAAATATGCGGGCTTCTGGTGGAACAGATTGGCTAGGAGAATCGTGCCATGTGACTTGATAATTATCTCGCTAGAAAGCCACTATGAGTCTGGCAAAGTCCCACAGAATAGGCCCCAAAGTACAGAGACACTGGACGCTCAAAACCACACCTAAGCCATCAAGGGGGATGACATAGCAATCCACCAGGAACACATATCTAATCTGCAGGTGTATGTTGCGGAAAATACCAGATCCGGTCACTTGATCGCCATCGGCCATCATAACTTACATCCCCAGGCAGAAAGTTGGAACCATACCAACACACTGAACTGCACTAGCAGCCACAAATGTGTGAATACTGAATAGAACCTGGATCAACAAGGCTAGCCAATTTCTCGCCTCCAATGATTACATCAAGACACATGGTTTTGCTTGTACAGATGCCAGTAATCGCATGGTGGGAATCGCCACAATGTCGCACTCAGTGTCCGAGCCTTCATCATCTTCCAACTCCAGGAGATAAATGCCCTTTATGGATCATTGCCATGCAAGAGGTGTTGCACGAAAATTTCTCTGGGTGATTGAAGGCTTGAAGCACAATCCCACCATCTCCTGTTGTGGGAGACGGTGAAAAAATTGATTGGGCTTCTGTGGTTGTCTAGTAGTTGCAGCTCCCCCGGCTGCAGCAGGAAGGCCAACCGATGTGACACCACCAGCACCAGGCAGAAAGTGCACCGCTCTGGAGCTGCCTGTGTGGGCAGTGACCTGGAAGGAGGCATGGCCCTAGGTGTCTTGTCCTTCTCGGCAGAGGCTCTGCTGGGCTTTTTAGGCTTCCTTTATATATAGGCGCCTGCTAAATAGGAACCAGAGATATAATAGAAGGCGCACACCGAACTAACTATTACTCTCTCTGTCCACAAATATAAGCATTTTTAGAACAGTGCCAAGTCATTTTATTTACTTTGACTGTTAATAGCAAAAAAGGAAAAAAGAAAGAAGATTGACAACGTGAGAATGCCGTTACTAGATTTATCGTGAAACAAACTATTATAATACACGACTCTTTCTATTTAAATTAATTTATCTTTATAAATATTATTGGTCAAAGTAGTATATTGGAGACTGTCTTGATGTCCTAAAGTGCTTATATTTGTGGACGGAGGGAGTAATAAATAAGCTTATCCCTGGCCAGTTGTAGATGACTTATTGTGCCTTTGATAAACTTGACCGTAGCATCGGTCCACGGGACCTGTAACAGTCCCATGGGGTTTTTATAATTTCCTGCATTGCGGTTTTTTTAATTACATTTGAATCTTGTATCACATGTAAATTTGTCTCTGACCAGAGATAACACATCGTTGTGTTGATTTATATTAATTTATCTTGAAGGAAAACCACTATTAAAGTTAATCAAGTATACCAGTAACTATGAACTTATTGTATTGTAATAGTAAACTCTTGTATTACTAATCTTATCAGGTATAGGTGCTGTGGTAAATATAAGGATTTTTTTCTCTCTTTTGCAGGTTGAAACAAAAGATGGATTCCTTTTATCTCTTCAGCATATCCCACATGGCAAAAATAAAGCAGCAGATAGTACTGGCCCTCCAGTTTTTCTTCAACATGGTCTTTTTCAGGTTCTTTTCTCATTAGAACTTGCACTTTTCCAGTTCAAAAAGGAGGGCATTCTGAAATTGCGAATGCATTTTTAGCTTCAGATCTTATCTGTGAACATTGTGGTTTTTTCCATATGTTTGGATGCTTCTTTGGGCAATAGACTCCTTGCTTCAGTCTTTGTTTCCAATTGTTGTGACTTATCCAAACCTTGGGCAGGGAGGAGACACATGGTTCATAAACTCTGCTGAGCAATCACTTGGGTATATCCTTGCTGATAACGGTTTTGATGTTTGGATTGGGAATGTCCGTGGAACGCGTTGGAGTAAAGGTCATTCAACCTTTTCTGTTCATGATAAGGTGAACACTCTTCACTGTAAGTTACATCATAGAACTCTCTTCAATACATTAGAAATATGCAATAGGCTCTCCTGGCTATTCTTCCAATTGTACAGTTGAAAAATAGTGTGGACCGAACCTGCATTGTTATAAGGCAAAATTTGCTACAGGACAAAAGTTGGGGAACACCACAAGAATGTGTATCTCCTATAGGGCACCGCAAAAAACTGGTAATTAGCTGCTGGACACTCATGGGATTATTTTATGATATCCGGAGGAATTGGAGAGAGAAACAACTGTGAAAGTACGGTTTTACCCTTTGAACCTAATCGAGCCACCTATCAGGGATTATTCCTTTTCTTTTTCTCCCTCCTCTACTCCTTCCTCTGTTCTTCTCTTCCTGTGTTCTTCTTCTTCTTCTTCCAAGGGAACGAGTGGAGGGCACTAGGGCTCCGACGGTCGGGGGACGGTGACATCGGCAGTGGCAAGTGTTCAATTTTGCTTCGCATCCGGGGAAAGTGGTGGCAAGCACAGGGAGTGAGGCAGGAGGCCGGAGCGGTGAAAGGAAAACCTCACCTCTGTCCAGCAAGGAAGGTGACGGTGGTAGCTTGATAGGGTGGCTAAAGGAAAGGGGAAACTAGGGGAATGGAGTCACCTCGATGAGGCAAAGCTGGCGGCGCGAGGGTTTTGCCGGTAAGGCTCCGGTGAGGGAGATCGACCGGCAGCCAGCATGGTGGAGAGAGAAAAGAAGATGGCTCGGAGAGCTTGGTTGTGGGTAAAAATGAAGACCTCACCGTCTGCGTGCCGCTGACCACGGTGACCTTGGCAACTGTGCCACCTGCTCCCTTCGCTGGCTCCGGCGAGCCGCTGCTCCGTCGCCCCATCTGGAAAGAAAGAGAGAGAGGCTTACATGTGGGGCCCATGCTAGAGTCATTTGACTTCTAATTAGTTTTTCAATAATTGGACACTAAAATAACCACATTTAGAATGTGCTTTACTTTTATTTGTACTATTTTCTTCCATTTCATTTTAGCGATTTATTATCAGTTGAGCCAAGGGTAAACTTGTCTTTAATGGCTGTTTCTCTCTCCTATTCCTCCAAAAATAATAAAATAATACCGCGAGTGTCCAGCAGCTAAATACCAATTTTTTGTGGTGCCCTATAGCATATGCGCGTTCTTGTGGTGTCCCCTAGCTAATTACACGTTTTTTTGGATGTTCTGTAGCAAATTTTACCGCAAGTGGTGATGAAATTGTAGGGTCCTTTGGTGATGTAAATCACAACTGCAGAGCATGCAGTGCTTTCTAACAAATCCCTATTGCTTAGTTTTTTTTCACTATATGCCTACTGAATTCTGTGAAAATTTCGCAGCTTTTCTGGGATTGGAGCTGGCAAGAGTTAGCTGAATATGACCTTTTAGCAATGCTAGGCTATGTGTATACAGTCACACAGTCCAAAATTCTATATGTGGGGCATTCACAGGTACACTTGGTTTTGTGTTCAAATGAGTTTTATGTATAACAATTGCGTTAACAATAACACTTTTAACTAATATCTGTTTTTAGGGAACTATAATGGGTTTGGCGGCTTTGACGATGCCCGAAATAGTAAAAATGATTAGCTCTGCAGCACTTCTTTGTCCTATTTCTTATCTTGATCATGTTAGTGCTAGTTTTGTTCTCAGAGCAGTCGCCATGCATCTTGATCAGGTGATATACTATGTTTGGAAGAAATCTCTAAATATATCATATATGGCAGTGACTTCTCAACTGACTTATGGTGCTCTTTGCCATAGATGCTTGTTACTATGGGAATTCACCAGCTGAACTTCCGTAGGTATGCAATTCTTTTCCTGACTTCTCCATTTTTCCTTTGGGTGTGATTTTATTGTGTTTAACAAACTCTTTGAACAGCGACATGGGGGTTCAAATAGTAGATTCTTTGTGCGATGGTGAACACGTGGATTGCAACAATTTGCTATCTGCGATTACAGGTGATGGTTGCAAAAATAAATTACTTGGTTGCTTTTTTCCTGTATTGGTCCTAAAGAAAGGTATTGTTGTTCTGCATAGTTCACATTTGGGTGTGAAACATTATATGCATCTTTCATTGATTGAGGTGTACAGACCAAACATGCACTAGTATTACTGACTTATGAAAATTGAAACAGAATCTTTTATAAAGTAAGGCAAACAGAACTGAAATATGCTTAACAAGGACATCATCAGGCCAATTTTAGCTGCAATTTTAACCTAAAGTACCAAAGTTTTTTTGTCCATGGCACTGAAATATTAATGGATATATTTTGCAATCCATTTGGTTACCGCAAGGTAATGGCTCATGTCACACACTTCTACCCATTATGTGCCATATCTTCGTGCGCGCGCGTGTTTTTTTATTTGGGGGTTGTATGTGTGTGTGTTGGGGGGGGGGGGGGGGGGTTAACCAAATAAAACCCATCAAGTAGGAAACCAGCGAAGGATAGCAGAGCAGCTGATCACACCCAAACAGCGGTGCAGCTACCCCAAGACAAGCCAGGTAGCAAATTACTTCAGGCCTCTTTCAGAAGTCTTCTTCGATTTGTTGCGTCTTCGATGAATGCTCACACCTTGGTGATCTGGTATTGTCTTGAAACCTACCTATTAGGATCTTTGCAGCAGTATTTTCGTTTACGGTGGGTATGCAACATACTGTGTGTGGATTAGGAATGCCAAATATGCTCAAAGTATGTCTTCAACAATGTGTTCTATTGTCTTGAACCTACCTATTAGGATCTTTGCAGCAGTATTTTCGTTTACGGTGGGTATGCAACATACTGTGTGTGGATTAGGAATGCCAAATATGCTCAAAGTAGCTAGTAACTTTGGGAGGAAATATTCAAATTGATAGAAAGGCCAAAAATATTGAGTGATAAATATTTTCATAGCTCAGAAGCACCCTAGATTTCGGGTGAGAACATTTTAATGGGTTTACTCCAAGGATAAATAAATTTTAATTGTGGCTTTTTATGTGATGTAGCTTGTTTGGAAGGTTCTTTGGATTGAATTTACATGTTTCTTTCAGGGGAAAACTGTTGCTTCAATACATCAAGGATTGATTATTATTTGGAGTATGAACCTCATCCATCATCGACAAAAAATCTGCACCATCTTTTTCAGAGTATGTTTTTATACTTATCCAATTCATGAATTTTTTAGGCAGTATAACTCGAAAGTTGAAACATTATTCTATAAACTGCGAGTGATGGTTGCAATAAACAATATCGAATTCTTCATTTTTCCTTTTCTTTTCTGGAAAAAGTACATATATCATCCCTCAACTTTTGGCTTGGTGTAAGTTTTGCCCTCCAACTCTAAAACTGAGTAGACTTTGCCAGTTTGCCCCTAAACTCTTGAAGCAGAGTATAATCAGTCTCTCTATCTATTTGACTGTTCTTTTGACCTGGTTTGGGGAGTTGAGGGGGTGATAAACAGTATTTTTCTCCTTTTCTTAGTGTAAGATGCATACTTGTAAGGACTATTGATCTTTCTGAAGGTATACCTTCAAATTCAATTCTTCCCCATACTCTTAAAGTTGTAGCATGGAAAGCATATCAGTGCCAGCCTAGAGTGCTTCAGAGCGGTAGGAGCTAGGAAGAGAATGGTTTGTAAAGCTGTCATATGTACAAAAATCCCCTCCATGGGTTGCCACCGTCCTACCAAGTATCAGTAACTCAGAGGTTGTGATGGAAACACCAGGGCCATCATCCTATCTATCAGCCTGTAGATGCAATGGAGAGTGCTCACCTTCCAAGGCTCCGATACCACCAGAGCGAGTGGAATTACAGGATCACTGACACCAAAGTTATATAGCTTGTGAGCTTTCAACATAGAGAAATATATTAAGTTTGGTGCAGATTTGAGGACTGAAGTTAGCATTTATACGAGAGTATTCACTTATAAATAGGATGATTCCTGCATACAAATCACTCAGGACTTGCTTTTTATTCAGTCCGTGATAAGACAAATGTATGATGATTTATCTGACAGTAAAATAGTAAATAACTCAACTGCAAGAGTTCCTGTTGCTAGAAACTACATTATCAAATAGTTGACTTTAATTCGAACACCACCTTTGACAGCCACCATGTGGCGCTGGGGTCAAAGAACTGACACCTATAATAGCATATAGGTGCTGGTTAGTTAAGAACTGGCACCTATATGCTTTATAGGTGCCGCCTGAGGGGTGTCGGCTGGGAAATCCAGCACCTAAGGGTTTCCCAACCGGCACCAATCCGTGTTTCTGTAGTAGTGATTTACTCGGTATTTGGACCAGCATCTTAATATCGAAAAGTGTGAATTAACCTAGGAAACAGGTAACTGTACAGAGTATCACTTGTTTGTTTTGCTTCTAAAATTAAGATGAGTTTGTGCAATATGATAAATATGAAGTTTTCCAAATTCAGTGCAAGGTAGTCATTCCCCCGCCGGTCGAATTTTTTTAAAAAAAAAATTCAGTGCAAGGAACAAATTTTGGTGGCTACTGGCAACTACTAATAGTTTGTGAACTTTCTCCCTCAAGTTACGAAAATCTATTGTTTGGACATTCTCTTTAAAATGCAAAACCTGATAAATTATAAAATATTATGAAACAGATTTTTGAGAAAAATCTGGCTGTGACGCTGTGGGGTATTCACTTTTGGGAAGAATTGTCAGTAGTTATTACTTTCAGCAATCTTCTTAGTTATTGAAAAACAAGGATTTATTTTGCTCCCTCATGCAGTGATCAGGAAAGGCACTTTCGCAAAGTATGACTATGGGTTATTGGGAAACCTAAGGCGCTACGGTCATTTGCGTCCTCCCGCATTTGACCTAAGCAGCATACCAGAATCACTGCCCATATGGATGGGATATGGAGGTCTTGATGCATTGGCTGATGTAACCGATGTTCAGCGTACTATCAGAGAGCTGGGATCTACACCAGAACTTCTGTACATTGGTGACTATGGCCATATTGATTTTGTTATGAGCGTGAAGGCGAAAGATGATGTTTATGTGGACCTAATAAGATTTCTTAGGGAAAATGGATGGCATAATAGCTATTAGGATGTCTTCATGTGTATAATAAAAACATCTGTACAGTATTGGTCCTCTCCCGATGTGAGTATGTATATATTGCATATGAGCTTGTTGGATCTATGGTGCATGCTCTCAAGTCTAAAACGCTGTCAGCAGCAATTGTATCATTGTATCCAACTTATCGCTCCACTACTGTATATCCATTATAGAAAACCCTCTTCATTTCCTCTTCATTTTAGCCGTCTCAGCCAAAATATGAATTTTAAGTTTTTTGTAGAGTTGATTTTAAGTTTTTTTTTATCTTTGGTTTATTTTCTAGTATTGGGTTTTACATAGCTAAGAACACATATATTAAAATTTTACTTACACGTTATATTTTGGACAATAATAAGTGTAACAACTTATAATCAGTTGTGGGCCAAATACTGATTCGGCAAAATGACAGGGGGCGTGTTCTTATTGTGCATCCATCATTAACCAACTACTAGTAGAGACATTAGGGCAGTCCCAACCCATGGTGTCCATAAGTAGTATCTATGGTGCCATGTCAATAAGATATCATAATAGAAACTACACTCTACAACTCATGGTTTTTTAAAGTGGGCCATTAATAAATATTCCATCTCTCTTCTCTACCAATAATATTTATTCTATATTTTTTCTTCATCTATTATGAAGATACTATTCTCTTTCAATACAAAACTTGGTAGTGTCTAGTGCATAGGTTCTCGTGTTGAAGCTGTGTCTTGCATGAGACCCAGTTTCTTCCTCTCTTTACTCTCTCTCTCTTAATTAATATAGTGCCACATAAGCTAAAAGTCTTACATGGCAATGTAGTTAATGCCATAGACACCATCCTAAGTGAAGGGTTGGGACTGCCCTTAGTCCTCCAAAGCGCTATCAATCACCCCAATATAAAAAGTTTCAGTATTTCTTTAAGGTTTATTAGATCCATACCATTACAAATATGTCATATTAGAAAAATTGTTATTACTATTCACAATATTGATTGGATGTCATTGGAATTTTATAAAATTAGAAGCACTGGCCGCAGCAAGGAGGCAAGGCATCGCCACAACTATCCCGATCCCTCTGCGCCTCCCACATCCTCCCACATCTGTCGCTGCCACAGCAAGGAGGCTCGCTACGAAATCAGCGACGACACCCGAATCAAGTCACATTTACTCTTCTGATGAATTACCTTGGGGTTTTCTTTGATTTTCATAAAACATAACTTTTACTATAAATTGATTCTCTCGAATCACTCAAAGTGTTTTATTCCTCACCAAGGTATTGATGTTGCCTTTTTCTTATCCCACCTTTCTAGTAAGGCTTAAGTGGAGCTCAGGGTAGGGAATAAGAAGATATATTGTAAAGTCAAATAGAGGATCCAAGAAGATAACTAATCATGTAACCATGATCAAGCTTGTGCACATAAACATAGGTGGAAATGAAAAAGGTGGAGAATATAAAGATTGGGATGGTCTCTCTGTCTCTCTTTTTTATGATACTCCTTGCACTTTTATTTTAGAGAAGAAGCAGGGGGCTAAACCTTTTTTAAATCATGCTCGAGAACATTTTGCATCATTCTCTTTTGACCAGAGTTTTTTTTAGCTCATGTCTCATTTGACATGGATCATTGGAGGAGAGACCACAAATTTTTTTGGAGTCTTTATTTGGTGGATGCTTGACTCCCGGTGTAAAAGCTTAGCATGTGGAAATGGATGGAATTGCTAGTCCTCTGGTGTAGAGAGAGCAATATTTTTTTGGCTAAGTACACAAGACTTTGGTCATGAAAATATGAAAATGTGAAAGAATCTGACAAGGGACAACTATTTGGCAAAACTCAAAACGATAGCAAGCAACATATGTATAAGGTTTCATCATTAAGATCGACATATGGCTTTGGTAGGAAGGGAATATCAATGATGAGTATATAAAGTTATTTTATTTTCCTTTTATAAAATTTTCAAAGGTTCAACATCAAGAGCAAGGTTCTTATCATCAGGACATCTCTCATTAATCAATAACTTAGATAACATGTGGTTCTATGAATATGATTCACAAGCAACAGATGTGTGCAGGGAATAGAAGGTATGCGAGTCATTTTACAGGCAAGTCAAAAACTCTAGTTGATCATGTCAATACTCATTTTAATTCTTGAGTTAATTTCATATATGGTAAAAATTAATCCAACTCAAGAAAATAAATAAGGAGATGAGAGATAAACGTGGAAATCGATGCTCCTATCTGGGTGTGAAGACGTGCAACCGTGTGTGCAATGGTTGCTTCGTCTCATCACATGAATGTGTAAACGCTGCGGTGAGCACAGACATGGGTGATTTGTATGTGAACGCATCGTGTGAGCACAAGATCACCCCGTACCTGGGGGTGCTTCAAAGACAAGACAAAAAGGAAAGTGAAAGCAAAGGATTCACCCTGGTGAAGCCCCATGAGTCAAATATTTTGATCATACTTTATTGATAGACGCAATTATATGATGAAAGAAATAAATAAAAGAAATAAAAAAGAAATTAAACCAACCCGCCTATCTCTAGCATTTTAAAAGAAGTAAAAAAATAATAACATTTTAAACATCAAATTAGTTTCATTAAATCAAGATTGAATATATTTTGATAATATGTTTGTTTTGTCTAAAAAAATACAACTATATTTTTATCTAAACTTAGTCAAACGTAAAGAAGTTTGACTCATCTTTACTATGAAAAATGTCAAAAATGACTTATAATATGAAACGGAGAGAGTAGCACTGCAATCTACATCAAGCAAGGTAGGATCCTTTCGAGCAATCGAGTAATGCTACCTAGTCAAATTAATCGATCAGAAGCGATCGCTAAATCAAGCTAAGAAATAACCACAGAGTTAACCGATGAATCGAATCATCCGTTCATCAAGCTAGCCAGCAAGCCAAGAACCAATCCAAAAGAATGAAATCAGTTCAGTCTTAGAACCCCAATGAATCATAGGCTCAACCTGCTCCTGCTGCAACACTAATGTGCAGCTCCCATGGATGACTCAGCAGACAGCAGGTTGAACCAAGTCAAAGCACCACGTCAACGAAACTGCTTTCCAAGACTGCTGAGAGAGTTAAATTGCACTGGTTTTAATAGCTGGGGATCGAGATATCCTGTATGAATCAGATTGGAGCTATAGTTGAGAGGGAGTCAAAGTGGACTTACTTGGCCTAATCCCAGCGCCGTCGTCCTCCCTCTTCTATGGCTGGCCCATTTGGTAGTCTAGGCCCAACTTCTCCGACGCTCCGAAACAGCCGAACAGAGTGGGAACTGGGAAGCGGCAACACAAACCAAACCCTAGCGTGGGAAGCGGCGGCGACCGGGCGACGGCAAGCGGCGGCGACGTGAGCAGGGTTGGCCACCAACGGCGGAGCGACGCGCGAGTGCTGCGGGCTGCGGCGAGCGGAAGGCGGCGCACCACGCGCGGGCTGCGGCGGCAGGCCGGCGAGTGTGACTGGGATTGGGCTGTTGGGCGAGCTCGGCTGACGTAAGTGAATTGTTCATTTGTTCTAGTATTATTGAGTTATCCAAATTTCACACTGAGGATTTCATTTTGGTAAGTATAACTTGTACTTGTGCAATGGCTTAGTGTATATATACCAGGATTTAGCGAACTTGTGCAATGGCTTTGATGCCCATTTTTTTGGTATTTAAGCACGTGCAAACTTTTAATTACGAATGTGAGCACATAATTTTTGGATTTTTGTTTCTAAGCAATATGCCTACGTGACCATGTTGATCCGGTTGACCTGATGTTGATCAAAACAAATGGGTTGTTTGTTTAACTAAATGTCCAAGAGATTAATGTGATTTTCGCTGCTTTGTTACTAGCAGTAACGTGCAGGAATCATCAGCCTTGATAACTCTCTTCATTGCCAGCCAATAGCAATAGTGCAGCTGCCTTACTATATTTAGATTACACTGAAAAATGTATATGCTACAATGGTTTGTAAAAGCTGATCGATATGCAACACTGATATGCAAAACAAATGAAGATTACTAATTAGCACAAATTATGATTTTGATGATCCTTGCGGATGAATTAGATTTGAATTGTAGAAAAAATGTTGCACCTACTATGTTGTTCTGATTTCTAAAACAAAAGCCAACGGGCCAATTGGAGGTAGGCTGTTGGTATATACGTATACGTATGTACTCATCAATTCAGCACCCAATTAGTTTGTTCACATCAGTTCAATAGAATCAGCACTCAAAGAGCATCCTGCCTACAAATTTAAATGTGTGTTTGTACTGTTTGGCGTGCTTGTATTTGGACACACCGGTGTTGCATGTGCTTACTTTGATGCAATGACTTAATTTATGAGAATATAAGTACAGTCGGCTATTAAATTAGGCTCAATTTTGTGTTATATATGCTATATATCGTACAACCATTAGTGCTTAATGTTATACCAGCCAATTATAGTTTCTTTTGGGTGTAAAAAAAATATTTTTTACCCTTCACATTTCGAATACCCAACCTCTAAATCCTGGGTCAACCCCTGCACAATGCGCCCGTGCTGCCTTCCCTTGCTCTTTGCCCTTCAACCCCCCATTCGCGCCTTTTCTAGCAGGTACCTTCATTCCTCTAGCTCATAGTTTCATTGTTAACAGCTCTCATTGTATTTGAACCATAAACTATGAAACATTTGTCGTTACCAATTCTTAAATTACTGAATTTGTGATTGCTGATTAGTGAATGTGCCATTGTAGTTGATGAAGCTCCCCTAATTGAAGAACCACCAACAGTTGCCATAGTCGATGTGTAAGACCTGTTCTACTTGAACCATCTATATTATAACATTTGCACATTTTGAACCTAGCTTGTTAAGTTAGTCGATTATTATAAGATATTATTGCTATATTTGTCGCCTTTTTTAACTAAATTTGTACTTCCATATGGGATTTACGATGTTCGGAACTTTTGTTATGTGATGTGAACTTTGTTTTGAAATTTGATTTGAAAGTTAAAAAGTATACTCAAATTTACCAACGATGGTAGACATGTATGCTATATGCACGCATGCATGCAGTTCAGCAAATTGCAAATTAGCAACTACTCCTAATTAACTACTTTGCTCAACAGCATTTATGTAGGCTGGTTTCTCTTTTCTAATAATTTGCCATTTTATCTTTTGTACTTTACTGTTGCTTTTACAGATTCTGAGACTGATTTCTCTTTCAAGGATGCCAACAAACTGTGCTCTCTTATTCGGAAGCAGCAAGCCCTTGCCAAAAAGAAAAGGAAGTATGTATATTTCTCTTCTATTACTATCTAAGATAACCCTGTTCTTTTGTTTTTATCATTCTTGATCCAGATTCAGTATTCTTGTGCTAATACCTTTTTTTGGCAGATGGCTGCGGTCTCTGATTCCAAGGGAAGACGGTCTCATCAAACCTATCAAACGACCCAAGTTTCTAAAAGATGTGTAAGTGCACCATTTGCACCATTCTTGGGGTTTCAAATTGTACTGAATGGAAGCTTGCTATCTACTAACATGATCATGTCTTGTAAACAAATGGTCTATTTGTTGCTCATTTCAAAATATTGAATTGTTTTGTAATTTCACACCATGGGTACTTTTATGCTTTATGAACATAAATGGATGATCAGGTGGCATTTCGAGATATGTCTTTATGTATTCATCTTTGTCATTTGATGGCTTGCAAATCACTTCATGTGCAGAAAATGATGCTAACTTATAGGTCACACCAGTTTGAAGGCAGCTAACTTCTTTACATTGTCTTTTAATGCTATTAAGTTTCTATTATTAGTTTGTCGTAACAAAACAAAAATCTTATTATTAGATTTCTCTGCTTTGCAGGTACTTGGCTGAATCATATGTAAGGAGTGATGAGGTAAGTCATCACATTGTTCTTATCCAGTGATTACATCCAGCACATTGTCTTACTTGAATCTCTCTAGGTTTCTTGTGAGAAAGTCATAGCCCATGTTGAAAAATGTTATGGTTTCCAAAGCGATGGCTACAGCCACCACATTGTTCAGGATGGCCTCCAGCTTTTTAAGTTGCAAAAAGGCAAGGATGGCTCACTCAGTCCACAAGGTCTTGCAGACATGCAACTCATAATAAATAAGTTAAGCAATGAAGCACTTCATTCAGTGGCTAACATCGCCACCCACAATAGGGTTAGTTTTGAGAAGACCAGGCCAGCGATGAAAAAGATCATAGAAGACCACCTACCACAATACTTGGCAAACTTGCATGATGAAAATGACATGTCTCAGCTGTCGCACATTTTAACAAATCCATTCAGTTACCGATCTAATTCCTTAAACATTACAACACCTATTTCACCGAAAATGCTATCATCCATCGACCAGGCATTAAATGTACTCAGTACACTGACTATACAAGCTCTTGTTGCAATGAAAAGGAAGCTTGATGAAGTATCTTTCACCCCAAAATTTAGTTTTGTACCTCGTATAAGCAGAAAGGCGCATATGGTTACTGTGATTAGGAAAGAGTGCAATAAGATGATTTCAAGGGTTGGGGAAAGTGGTGACCTGCCAAAGAATTTGGCAAAAGCACTGTCAGTGGTGAATCTGTATAGGAAGCAAGAGTTGAAATGCATGGACATCTCACAGGCAGAGTTCTTTCCATTCTCAAAAAAAGCAATTTTCTTGCAAAATGATGTCCTGAATGCTATTTGGTCAATTCAAAAGTTGAAGAAAGGGGATCTTAAATTGCTGCGTGCCATACTATGTCAAGGTTCAAACGATGAGATGCTGCTAAAGACTACTGTGAGAAGGTATTTGATAGATTGTTTGTTTGAATGTGATGAGGGTGATTTACCAGATGAGGCACTGAGAGCCATTGCTTTGTGCAATCAGATGCCGCTGCGTCAAAAAATTGATTTCACAGAACAAAGGAAGGGTGCAGAGTTAGAAGCTGTACTGAATGTAAGCAGTAGTCTTAGAGCTCTAGTATATCATTGTACAGGAGGCCAAACTGATGATCAGTTAATGAACTGTGAGAGTGAATGCCACAGCGATGAACAAGTGATGAGCTTAGGTTGTGATGACTACAGTTGTGATAATGATTTCGTGCTCACAGAGGGTTACAAAAATTTTGGTCATCAGCAGCATAAAATAGATGAAGCTTGTTCGAGTAGCATGGTCAACCCTGTCAGTGTGAGTGGACATTTCTCGAGTGGAGCTGGTAGTAATATGAAGAAACCTACTTTGCATGAGGTTGTTGGTGCCAATGAAGTGGAAATAAGAAGAAGCTCCATGGGCCTTTCCGAGATTTGTGATGATGCTGCAATTTTGGCCCACAAGCTTCTAGGGAAAATTCTGGACAACACGTTGCTTGCAGAAAACAAGGTCAATGGACTTGCCGGATACTCTCTTGATGGTTCTACTTCGCATGGTCCTCAAGGTACATTTTGGACCACCATTGAACCTTCATTGTTTTTGTTTTGGTCTTGTTTTGTTTTAGTTTGCAATGCCCTTCAAGGTTCATATGATATATTTGCCATAGATCCTGCAGAAAAGAACCAAAAAGCTGACATTGTGATTAAAGCTATTGAGAATGTCTTACCGAATCTGCCAAAAAGGTCCTTTTTTTCCCTCCACCCCTTCATTGCATATAAACACACTAATACTATATGTTTGTGCAGCTGCATGGACAAAGTGAGGAGGATGTTGCATGATGATAAACAATGAGTATGGTCTGCAAAAATAATGTATGGGCTCTATTTCTTAAGTTCCATATTATAGTTATTGACTCTGTATTGCCTAATTTCCGCATTCCATTTGCAAATTCTTTTTAGGTCCTTGACCTATTGTGTTTGTTGTTGCCTGCCTTTTGACATTCTGCACAGGCTTGTTTGGTGCCAATCAGTTCACTCAAATGAGACTCAATGGTGTTGCCTTTTGAAGAGCAGATGGTAGTCTGATTGAAATGGAACTGCTTGTTCATATATATGTCACCATTTTCTTTTGGTTGAACCTGTTAATGTTACACTTATGATACATATACTACTATCCAACATCATTATAACCTCGCATATGAATGTGTGGCTCCTACTAGTTGCCTTCGTGGATACCAGTTTAGTTCAATTATGAATGCTTCTTTTATACTTATATGCACGAATTCAATATATAGTTTCAGAAACCATGGTATATCAGTAGGAGGATTTGATTTTTCTTCTGCTGTTTTGACGTGAAGCTGCTATACGTCAATTTGCTTTTCTTCATGGCTCCGTTGCTACTTCAATTTTATGCGATGCTACATCCTGATCCCGTGCTTTACTACTCCAGTATACTACATACTCCTATGTGTCTGATTTGATCTGGCACGTCGCTTTGGCGCTATAAAAAAAAAGTGGTACTTTTTGTTGGTTTTTCTGTTGGTTTCGTGTACTCTTTCTTCTCTGATGTGACGTGCGAGTCTGTACTCTCCTTTTGTCTTGTTCCAGTATTCTTGTTTGCACCACAGGCTCTTTGGCTTGAAAATTTTCCTTTTAGGCCTTTTCGTTTAATCCGCAAGAGAGGGGGAATGTAGGGGATTGAGGGGAAATAATTCCACACCACAATAGGTGCAGAATAAATCCCTCTCAATCCCCTTGTGGGAGGGATTAACCGCACAAGGCCTTAGGGATTTGATCCGTCTCTCATACATGGGTTAATTATTACTGGAGTTGTGATTTCTGGTTGATTTTTCAGATGCACAAGTGTTTGGAGTGAAGGGTGTTCAGTCCGGTGCCCAGTAGCCTTGCCATTTTGGACACGTCTTTGCTCTCTCTCTCTCTTTTACATATAATTCTTATTCTCTCTTTTTTCTCTTTAAATTCTTCTTGTCAGCCCTGCTTCACCTAAGTGATATAATTGCGTGCAATCAAATTTGAGCATCGTGTTAGATTGTCTATCCTAGTAAAAAGCTGGTACTCTTTTTTAGCGTATAGTTTAATGTCTTGTGCGAGAATTAATATCCTGTGTCTGTGCAGTATCCCAGCTAAAGTTTATGTGCATTCCTCGTCATGGCTCCCTCCAGTCTCTGCTATTTTTACCTTCCCTTCTTCACTAAAGTTTAGGTGTTCTGGTGATCAAGCAAACTCTAAGCAGATATAACTTGGTCTTTCATAAAAGCCTATAAAATCTGTGCTTGCGTGGTTATCTTGTGTAAAAGTTTCAAGTTTTCCGCCTATAAATTTCACACTCCAAGCACTTGACAATGTTTTGATTCAAGGGATAGAAGAAATCAACTTATTTTGGGCTTCTCAATTCCCGTTTCTGAATTTAATTGTGGATCTTTGAATGGCCTGCTCGATTTTGACGCATCTCTGTGTAGCTAGGTGACAATGCCGCTGCGTTATTTCTTTCTGAATTTTATTTCAGCCAATTTGGGTCCGTTCCTTTGTGTCACTTTTCAGGGCATTTTATTTGGGAAGTGCTTCTATGCTTCTTAAAAAAAAACTGCACGAAAGTTAAAGCACGTCAATGGTGAGGATTAAAAGTTGATTAACCGAGCAATCACCATTAGCAAGGGGCAATTTCGTCCAGAAGTAAAAGCCCATATCCGTATCCACATCCCTTCTCATGGATTGATTCGCGGCCAGCGGCAGTTCTCACGACGCATTCCAGTGAACAGCGCCGCACGCCCGCACCCTTTCCTTCGCCGAGAAGCGTCCTCTACCCCCTGTAAGAGTGTTTTCCCCTTCCGCTACTAACCACGCCGTCGCTGCTTCACCGGCGAGCTCTCTCCTTCGAGGAGCTGCGTGTTTTGCAGGTGGTGCTCGTCGTCGTGCTTTCAGGTTCGTCAATAGTCTCGTGGTTCAGGAAACATGGCTGGTTGGCTGGTTCATTGAGCACAACACCCTCACTCACCGTTATCAACACCTTATTCTGCTTCTTCGTGATTCTCGGCAGAGATTGCCAAAGCTTCCATGTCCATTTTATTCCTCAGTATATGGTGATACCTGATATGCATTCAGAATTGAACAAAACTTAACACAAGGCTGACCACAATCTTTTGAATTTACATAGAACTAGCTGGGTGGATGATGTTCGGCATTCATCCATCCCGCCGGCAAGCGTGCCGGTGTCGGGCAAGATGGGTTCGTTCGACCCGGCGGGATGGCGGTGCCGGCGGCGGCGGCGAAGATGGCGCCTCCGTCTAAGGTGCAGGTCAAGGAGGAACCAGTCGATTCTGATATGCGGACAGGGTGGGCTAGATATGGTCAGCTTTTTCTTAGGACAAAATTACAATGGGGATTACTCTGTTAATCAACTTTTAATCCTCACCGTTGATGTGCTTTAATTTTCGTGCAGGTTTTTTTTAAAGAAGCATAGAAGCACTCCCTTTTATTTTCACTACCACCAGATCGATCATCTGCAAACTCAACTCCCATATATGTTAATAATAAAGCTCATCAAATTAATGTTCCAACCAACATGGTGGATCGATCACATGAAGCTCTGCTCAGCTCAGTTATCCTAAATTACTACGTCCTCCCTTTTATATCTGAAGGAAGTATTTGAGGCTCTAGCCTGATCGCCTGATTACAACATCATGGCTGGCTCACATGAAAAATAAAAATCTCAAGATAAGATTTGTTTGAGAATAGTGCATCGGACTTGTCAGAGAATAAAACATGATAATGTTAGCGCACAGCTTGTATTACTGTGGAATTAGGGCATAGGTATGAATTCCATTTAAATATGGGGGGAGGAACTATTCTTATGTGCAAACTAATAAAATTATTCTTAATGAAAATCGTAGAATCCAAACTTCATGAAAATCATAGAATCCAAACCTCCCTACGATCTTCTATTCACCTTGTGTTCCGTCGAAGTCGCACAATACCATCATTCATACCAAAACCAGAATAACAGCGTGCTTCTGAATGAAGCTTAACTGAAGTTTACCATGATTAATAACTGTTGTGCAGGTAGTTCAGTGGAATATAAGCTAGTACTATCTAAATATGGGGTAGAGTAGCTAGTCTTGGTGGTCCCAAATCACCAGAGTATTTACATCAGTAGATTAAACATGTCCATCTTGGACCAAAATGAGACGATACCAACGAGGTTGATATGAGCCAGAATCAAAAGCAAAATGACCAGGTGCATTAGCATACTGTACCCCAGTCCAGTCAGCCCCCACTTCCTTGAAGTTTTCTCCATGTCTGCAAAAATGAAAAAAGAAAACGTAAATCAAGTTACATAATTGCTTGGCTAGATTAGTCATCAGAAACACAACTGCACATAGCCCAAGATCATAGAAGACCAAACCAGTGTTTGCAAAAATAGACTCAATTTACACTGATAGTCTGATAGGCCATTGAAACCTTTTAAACAAATAAGCACCCACTGATATTGATGTCAAATAACTCCTTTACATACACAAGGAAGAAGGGCATCAAAACGTTGAAAGCACAATCAGTAGTTTTAATTGCCTAGAAAGTTTGCAATTGTTTATACTACAGAATCTAGTTTCTGGGGACATTCTTATATATCAATCAGTAACTATCCGCAACTATATTTCCAAAAGAATCTTGCATTTCCATCATTTCAGCAGCTTGCAAACGAAAATAATTTAACAAGGATAAGAAAAGAGAGTGGCATGGCTTCACGTGTAAAGAGAGGAATCTAAAATTAAATGAACAGGCAGACAATTCATATCATGGTGTTACAAAGAAAGCAATAAAATGCATCACAGTTTGGAAACACATAAGAATAATGAAATGAATAGACTTAAAACAGAACAAAAACTTAAAACAGAACAAAACAAATACTAGCTAGCACCAGGCAAACTGACGTTATGCAATTCACTTTACAAAATGCAACATTATAACCTTGAAACTTCGAAAACAATAATGCACTTTAAATCAGTTGGCACATCATTTGGGCTGTTTACCTATACCAAAAGTTCACTAATTCATCATAAACGTATACTCTAATAGAAGCATCATTCATCACAAACCATTAAAGTACAAACTTGGCCTTTTGAGTGTATTCTATATCCTCTTGGCAGCAAATGGACGCAGCTGCTCTAAAGCAATGTGAACCTTACCAGCAAGCTCTTCCTAAAAGGGTATCAGTATATCACAACTAAACTACCGCCTCCACAAGATTAGAACCTCAAGTCAGCGTCACGATGGAATATGTAGATAACAGTGATGGCAATCTTGTATGGTAAAGACAGATCAACAAGTAAAAGATGGCAAGGTAAATTAGAGGTGAGAAAGGTCAGTCAATCAACCTATAATGATCACTTGAGGAAGCCCGACAGCAACTTGATCAGTTCCTTCTCCAGGTCACGCCCCTTCAAAGACACCCTGACCTGAGCCAAAGTCAGCTGCTTGATCTTAGCATCCAGGGCACTGGCCTTGCTGTCAGCAAGCTTCAAGAAAGCCTCCTTAAACAAGTCGGGGTGCTCTTCATCCAGAAGAGAAACCACCTTCCCAAGGAAAAAGTAGGACGCAATCTTCTCCTTGAATTGCGTGTCAATGTCTGTGTTTCCTTGGGCTGGTGCCTCCATCTTCTTCTTCTTGGGCTGCCGAAGAGACTGACCAACCTCTTGCGGCGGCACCTTCCTCTTCCCATTGAAGGCAAGCACATTCTTGTTCGCCTGAAGCGCGGGGTCCAGCAGCACATCGTCGTCACCGGAATCGGACTCTTGGTCGTCATCCTCATCATCATCGGACGGAGACGCATTCTTGTTGGCCTGAAGCGCTGGCAGCGTCTCGTCGTCACTGGAATCGGACTCTTGGTCGTCATCGCCGGACGAGGACACAATCTTGTTCGCCTTCAGCGCTGACTCTTGGTCGTCATCAGAATCAGAATCAGACTCAGACTCCTGGTTGTTCGGCGGGGCGAGGACGATTGCATTGTTGGTGGGCAGCGGTGGCTCGTCGTCATCAGAATCGGAATCAGACTCAGAATCTTGGTCTTGGTGATTCTTGTTCGCCTGCAGCGGTGGTGGTAGCGGGGAGAGGACGATGGCACTATTGGTGGGCAGCGATGGCGAATCGGAGACCTCCTTCCCATTCTGCTGGGGCGGCGGCGGCGGCGGCGGCGGCGGCGGCGGGGCGACGAAGGGGGCTTTCTTGGTGGGCGCCCCATGCGAATCAAGTTCCTCGGAGGACTCGAGCTCCAAGTCCTCGCCGTCAGAGCTTTCTTGCGGCGGCTCAGGAGGAGGGTGGTGAGCGTGGGAATCGGAATCGGAGTTGGAGCCAGATTTGGAGGGGCGCACGATGGGGGCCATGGTTTGGTTTCCTCTGCTCCGGTGGTGGAAGAAGAAGAGGAGAGGAAGCGGCGGCGGCGGTAGGGTTTCTTGTGCTCACCTGGGGTTTTACCAACTCCTGCGATGGCGTTGGGTTTTGTTTGCCACCCCTCTGCCTCTTGGGCTTCTCTAAAACCTTTGGGCTTCTCTAGGAGACCTTTCAGCTGCCGTTAAAAAAAAAAAAACCTTTCAGCTACCACAAAGGCATTTTTTCTTTTCCCTGGTTCGAATTAGTGTATTCCGAGCAAGCACTTTAGTTTAATTTAGGCAAATGTTGCAATATGATATCCAATTTTTGTGTAATTTGTTAGTAGAAATAAAAAAAACTGTGCCAAATGTGTCACCACGGGAGAATATCTTAAACAATTGGTAGTTTGGTAGAGGATATTTCTGATCCAATTGGAATAAGAAAATTTCCAAATAGATGGGAATGTACCTATTAACCTATGGCCACAAGTTTCTAGCATGACGTTCAAGTGAAAATTTTAACTCTAAATCCGATATCACCTCAAGTATATTGTTGTCATAGTATAATTTTCTTCACTCCATCGTTAAGTTAGAAACTTTTGTCCCTAGGAAATTCTTGTATTTTGAAGAATTTTTCTTTCTAGTTCGGCTGAAAATATCCTCCAACAAATTACCTTTTTTAAGTATCTTTCAACTGAAAAGTATCCTTTAATTATAGCAAATTTGTTACTCTAAGCTTATACTTCGATGCCTACCATTAAATTACACAAACTTGAAAGTAACAAAAATTTCCTTTAATTTAAGAGGTGGAGTGGTGTCACGCCCTGAAGTTTCCCTAAAAATATTCCTAATAAATCGTCCGAAGAAATGGTTTATATTAACCTTGAGCTAATTCCTTAATTAATCAATGCATTCAATAATTGGAATTGGCATTGTGGGATTTTTCTTGGGTTCCACATGTCGCAATATATTAACATGATTTTTAGTGGAAATTTCAGAGCCCTATAAGTAATTTTAACCAACTAAAATTCATTAACCGCAATATTTAATCCTAGAAAATCTTTCCCTTTTTCTTCTTTTTCTTTTCCTTTCTTTTTCCTTCTTGGGCCGTCGGCCCAGTCCTCCCTCCTCCCGCACTCGGCCTCCCCCTTGTTGGGCCGACCCGTTTCCCCTCCCTCATCCCCTCCAGGTCACCAACAGGTGGGGCCCACCTATCGGTCTTCCCCAACCTCCAGCTGCCCGCGCCTAGGCCGGCAACCGCCGCCGCCTCCCCCAACCGCCCACGCCGCCTGCTTCCTCCGCCTCTTCCGCGCTCGCGTCCACGTCGCCGCCCACCTCCTCCACCTCTCCCGCTCCCGCATGCGCCCACAAGGGGCGGATTCAATTTTGAATTCCCCTCTCTCTCTCTCTCCCTCCCCACCTTCCCATGTCGCCGGCCACATCGGGTGGGCTCCCGGCCACGTTCTCCCCTCCCTCGCCCATAAAAACCCTCACCCGAGTCCCCTCTCCCTTTTTCAACTCTCGCCGCCCTCTCTCGTGCCTCCTACCGCCGCCGCGCCATGCTCGCCAAGCTCTGCCGCCGCCGCCGCTCTCCGGCCACACGTCGCCGCTGCTCCAACCGCCGCTGCGCCGCGCCATCGCCGCCGCTAGCTTCGCCGCCGCGAGAGCTACCTCGGCGGCCGCTCGCTCCCCACGCACCGTCGCCGTACCGCTCTCCCCACACACCACCGCCTCCATCCGCCGCTAGCTGCCGCTAGTCCCACCGCCACGCTACTCCCGCGCACCCCGCCATCCGCCGTCGTCTTCCCCCACGCCGGCCAACCTGCGGTGAGAACCTCCTCCCCCTCCTTTCTTCTCCCATGTACGCCGCTACCTTGGCCGCGCCGTTGCTTAGGCCGTGCGCCGCCGCCTTCACGCTGGCTGCCGCCGTCTTCTGCGCCGTCGGTTGCCGCCGTCGGTGGCCGTGCGCGCTGCCGCCGCGTTGCCATAGCTGGCCGCGCCATCCGATCGGCCTCCCGGCCGATCTGGTGGACCGACGGTGGACCACCCACGTGGTCCCGGTCCACGGTAGACCGGCCTCTTGAGCCGCTGACCAGTGGAGCCCACTTGCTCGAGCCCCCTCTCCCTCCCCTTGTGCCGCTGACAAGCGGGGCACGCCTGTCGGCGCCACCCCCTGGATGACGTTAGCCCTGGTTATATTGCGCAATAATTAATTAAGGCATTTTCTTTATTAGTAAAAACACAGATTATCTTCTAAGATTCATAAGTAATTCATCCGAGCTCCGTTTAAGTCCATTCAAGTCTCAGTAAATTCATAAAAATCCCTAGAATCCATTAAAAATGATTCCGTTTCCTGTTTCAGTAGTCTTATAGTATGTTTTGCTTGTGTGCTTTGTTTGTCGCGTAGATTTTGGTCGTTTTGTCGATCTACGGTTTCTCGAAGACGTTGTTGTGGTCTCATTAGTGCGAGAGCAAGGTAAGTCATGCATTACAATTGATCATATTGTACCCAATTTACAAATATCACGTATTTCTATTAAATGTTGCATTTTTTACAATGTCATAATGTGGGATGTGTCTTACTACTTAACCATATATTGTTTACCTTATGCCATTGATAACTTGGGTATCAAAATGATTAGATGTTGGCTTAGGAAATGCTTAGCCATGCTTAGTTCAACTGGTACACAAATGGGGATCACATTATTACATAGACTTTGACTATTAACATAGCTTTGGATTGGTGCCACTGCAATGGTGTTAGTTAATTAAAATACACTGAATGGTGGGCTGTGGGTGCATGGTTTTGCTGGTCGCACCCATGGCAGTTAAGGACCGGTTCACGGGAAATCCTGGGAGACTTACCGTGCTTAACACAAGCGGGAGTGGGTAACTGCTTGATCTGAAGTATAGCTCGACCCTTTCCTAGGCACCGGTGGTGAGGGTGGGCGTGATGGAGTTGGGTCGGCCGGGGTGTCCGGTTGTCCAGCTGCCGGATTCACCGCGATGCACGAGAGGATGCCCACGTCCGGTATAGGGGTGGGGGTGAAACCTTAGCGTGGTGTGGATGGTTAGGGGAGGGTTATGCGAAGGGTCTTGTAACGATTTCCCCCTTTGCAGTGCCATGGGGTACTTCGGGGCATGGCGACATGTGTGGAATCGTGTCTTGTGGGTACAGTTGTATACCTCTAGCCAGAGTAAAACTATTCGAATAGCCATACCTGTGGTTATGAGCGATCAACCAGATTCACCGTAATTAGTCTCACCCCTAGTTTAGCTTAATGAACTGGTGTAGTTCAGGTGGTTGGTTGGGCCTGTTGCAACGTGGTGTAGCGTTGGACAGTGATTAGTTAATATTGATTAAATTACTGCAACTGTTTTACTGCTTTCAACTAATGTTTTTAAATGCCTGCTTTATTGCAAATGAGCCCTTAGCCTCCTTTGGATATATCCTGCATCATACCTCCTCGTCCGGTATGACTTGCTGAGTACAGTGGGTAGTACTCAGTCTTGCTCTCTCTTCCCCACACCAGAGTTGAAGTGCTGCACCGTTGGAGGTCGATCTAAGGAGTTGGTTTTGTCGCTGCCGTCAAGGGATGCCTGTGGAGTGAAGTCGCCCCGCTGCAGAGTCAAGCTTCCAAGTTTAGCTCGCTTTTATCTTTTCCGCTACATTTGTAATCTTTTCTATTTTTGTAAGATGTGGATCTGTATGTCAACAATTATCGTCCGTGTACCCTGGTTGGTCCTGGACAGGGGTTTAATGCATATTCAGCTTAGAAATTATGGTTCGTGAATTTCTGGGCGTGACAAGTGGGCAGGTCTAAGTTTCGCTGGATTGTTGGCATTATATGCTAAATTGAAATTTTTTCCCCATTGTAAATCAACATTTTTTGATATGGCTATAATATTAAGTTTACAATCTACAATGTTGTGCATGCCTATTTCTTTTGAAATACCAGCTTCCATCCTCTATCTTTGTAAACAAGAAATAGTTGAAAAACAATGTGGACCATGAGCTCTGGTATCAAATTGAGTTCTTGGGACTGTGGGTAGCCATTATGCATTATTGGGACTCCTAGTAGCATACATCTCTTCAATTTTTTTAAAAAAGAATGTTCTGTATTCACCTTGCAAGAACTAGCCAAAACCCATAAGAGTTCAGAACAGAGAAGAAAATTGCAGCGGTGGTTGCCTTTTCACCACCGTAGGTTTATTCATCAGACTCTTGCATCAAGTCCACTACAGATGACATGCGCGCAGGCACATTAATTAGAGCTACATCCATCCGATGAGAGGTTGCGACAGTGAGGAGAGATGGAAGCAACACGGTCACGGAGGGAGAGGGAGATAGGGCTAGAGTGGGGAGTAGTAGGAGAAAGGGGTGGGGAGGGGAAGGGCGGCGGGTGCCGACGTGCCGTAGTTCGCACTGCCTCCACAGCCCCCACCGTGCACCACATCTGCTGCTCCTACGCGCCGCAGCCCCCTCCATGCCCTCTGCTCCGCTAGCCGCCCGCCTCGCTCCGCTCCATCGGCTTGCTCCGCCTGCCGTCTGCCCCGTTTCGCCCCCCGTCGCCCCCACCCCCGATAGTGAGGTTGACATGTTGGGCCACATGGGTCTTACCATTTTTTTCATTAATTTGTGTGTGTAATTGGCATGTGGTCCCCACGGGTTTTATTATTTTTCTGGATCGAATTGCCATGTAAGCGCCATGTCAATAACACGTACGACAAAGGTCTAGTCAAAGGATCCAAGTAGACGCCATATCAGCCAAAACTAATGACAATACTATCGAGGGATCTCGTTTGTATGATTTTGTAATTTGAAGGATGCGCTGTATCTGGTTTTTGGGACTAAAGATAAAAATTAGATCGGGCAACAAATGGAGGGACCTAGAGTGAACTTATTTCCTAATAATGGGGCTTGTGAATTCTTTCCGATCCAACAAACGACTAAGACGGACTTTTGCTTCGATGGCGGCGCTCCTCTATCTCCGGAGGCGGGCCGCGGCGGCGGCGCTCGCCGGCGTAGCGCCAAAGCCCCAATGGCTGGCCACGGCAGCGAGGCGCGGTGCTCTAGTTAGCGGAGACGACGGTGGAGAGACAGGCGAGAGGGGCAAGAGCCCGTGGTTGCAGCTCCCGCCCTTCGCGCCGCTCGACGCCGCCGCCGCTGCGAGAGCCATCTCTCGAGGAGGTGGCGAAGGAGGAGATGGAGAACAGGGAGCTACCGCGATCAAGTGGGTCCGTCGGTGCTGCCCCGACCTGCCGACCTCGCTGGTGCAGAAGCTGTTCCGTCTCCGCAAAGTGCGCACCACTCGTTCGAACAAATGCCCCGCTACCTTTCTCTCTCTGTGTTTTTTTACCATATGTTGTTTGCTATTCTCTTGATTTCTAACAAGTTTCAACATCTTTCTAAGAGCAAAGATGAAACTAATCGATGCTGTGCCTCAACCGTGGCAGGTTAAGAAGAACGTTGTTACTGCTGAGATCTCATCGGCTGATGCTAGTGCTGAGCAACATCGGTTGAGAAGGGTAATGAAATAATGAACATGATAAGTGAATGTGAAGTGCCTCACAGACTGAATCCTTATCCTTTAGATGCTGGCTTGTTAAGTGAGAGAACAGGTTCTAAGCTTGTCTGCGACATGACCAGATAATAAGTTAATGAAATCAATCGGTGATATTGGCTAGATGTTTTCTCTGTAAAAGCTGAGTTTATTTCACCTTCTGTTTTTTTTTTCTTGTACTTCTGCCATTATCATGACCACATACTAACTAAATCCTCTTTGCTATATGGTTTGGTTGGTCTCGTAAGTTTAGGCAAGTTCACAAAACTTCACTTTTCTCTTTCTTACCTCATCATTCCTGGTTTCCTACAATGTGGTATCTTCAGTATATCTTCATGAAGCGATATCACATTGTCAGATGCCACAAGGCCCACATCGTTCTGAACATAACCATCCTGGACAAAACAAAAACATTGTAACACCAAAACTAGTTGCTTGAGAACAATGACGGATCCAGGAATTTCTTTGAGCCTGGGCAAACCTAATAAGAGATAAAGACTATATACACAAAACCGTATAACTGATAACTTCATAGATCATTTATCAAAGACATAAGTGAAGTTGGGTGTCACCGAGTTATCGTTTATCAGTGAGATGATGGTTGTTTATTGTCAATGAGTTAGACTATGAAGCAAGTATTACTTGAGAAAAGAAAGATAGACATGCTTAGAGTTGTGTTGCTTTGGCTTTATGGTTACAGACATGATGGCTTGGCCCTTTCTTTGCTTGTATGTTGGCTGATCATCTAATTAACCTCCATTTGAACCAACGAAGCATGGTAATTAGGTAAACAATTAACAAGTAATATGCTGCTTATGCAATGGAGCAATGTGTTGCTGTGTGCATAGAGCCCGGGCACCTGCCCATGCTGGCCGGACCCTGGCCCCGCTACTGCTTGAGAATATATAGAGCTTGATTTTCTTGTTGACATTATAGAGCATGGCATTTTTTACAGTTCTGTGTTTTTCTCTTGCAGTATGTGACTTATTTTTGTTTTAAGGTTTCAGCAAAAGATCAATTAATGCCTGGTGATATCCTCTTTCTGCCTGTTAATCTCAAAGAATCTTCGGTTGCTGAGAAGACTAAGAAATTTGATAACAGGAATGAGATTAATTTTCTGCGTGGCCTTGAGATTTACAAGGTGTTAGTTTATTAGACTTTTCAAAAGTACTTTAATTGTTTTGGATGGTAAATGATCCCCTTTGGTGTTTTAAAACTTTCAGGATGAAGCCATCATCGTGGTCAACAAACCCCCTGGAATGCCGGTTCAGGTAGGTATCTTTGTATACGTGTATTCCACTAAATTTTTCAGTGCCTAGTTTTGAACTTTTTTCCTCTCTGTTCTGAAGGGCGGTGTTGGCATTAAAAACAGTATAGATGTATTGGCCTCCATGTTTGAAGAAAATTCTTCTGAAGCACCTCGTTTGGTGAGTTCACTACTTTCTGTTTGTGAGACACATGGTTCCTAGAACTCAGTATATGCGTGTTTGGTTTGTGTACTCGGGGTTCTACCCCTTCTTTCTTCTTCTTAATATAATGGTACGTGGATCTCCTGCGTATTCAAGGAAAAAAAAAGAACTTAGTCACTTGTAGTGCACATTTTAAACATGGAAATTGTCGTGCAGACCTCCTATACCACATTCATTTGAAAAAGAGTAATTTCATAAAACTGCAAGTATTTTGGCAAAACTTTCAAGTTGCTGCACCTTTTACAAGGCAAGTACACTTTTCTCCAATGATAGCTTCCGATTTTATCATGTAAACTAAGATTACATGTGGTCTTGACTCTTCAGAAGTAGCATAGTCTCCTAATTATTCAAGCACTCATTTTACTCTTGGTGCCTCAGCAACAGCAAGTTAGTGCTGTATTGGCTGAATTATAAGATTGTTTGTGCTGATGTGCTTCACCAGGTTCATAGGCTTGATAGAGATTGTAGCGGCATCCTTGTTCTGGGTAGAAATCAACTTAGCACTTCAATGTTGCATGCAATATTTCGTGAGAAAACTGCTGATGCTTTAGCTGATGTAAGTTCAATTTACAGTCTGTTTATAATAATTATGTTCAATATTTGCACATTTTTATGACCTGATACCCTACAAGGCTATTATCTACATACTTATACCGTGATCATGTGTTTTATGTCAAGGGTACTCAACATGTACTGCAAAGAAAATATGTTGCTCTTGTAATTGGAACACCTAGACATCCCAAGGGTTTATTGTCAGCTCCACTTGCAAAGGTTTGTTAGAATATGCATTATAGTTCACTTCCGTTCTATTTATCACCAGTCTTTATAGTTAAGAAAGGTACACACTTCAGGTGCAAGAGATGCACAAAAAAATCTCTTGAGATACAATGCCATAAAGTAGTATATACTATCTGGAACTTAATGCGGCAAATGTGTTTAGCTGGACCAGCATTTTTTTATAAGCAATAAACTAATTGATACCACCAGCAACCGGCCAAGCTACTGAACTCTTTTAAGTGATGGCTTGACAAAATCGCATGCCTGTCTAATGGATATTGAGAAAGTTTGGTGATCACATATTGTGATTACATACATTTCATGGAGATTTGAATTTCAAAGGTATGAAAATCATCAAAACCTTGGGCAACCCTTGTTGAAGCTGGCAATTTCCACCTTGTTACAAGCAAAGTTTCTATGGAATTTGACTAATAGAGCATTAATAACACAAATTTTCATGCAGACTTGTTCTGTTTTAGACTGGCTAATAGCCGCTGCAGAATCACTTACTGATAGTCTTGGATTCCCAACGAACAATGATACTTAGCCAAACTACAATATGATGATGACTGTATGAGTATCTGTATCATATGCATATCATATATATATGACGATACTCTGATCTCAGATCCCATGATCACTCATTTAGATATCTAGTAAAAGCTCAAACAAAAAGAGATCAACCCACCACTTATACTCCTACCAATGTCTTATATTTACTACCATGACATTTTATGTAATCTTATTATCTAATTCTGTCGTAATATCTCTCCACATCTTTCTTACTGCCAAATACATATATATACTCAGTGAATCTGTTATCTCCACGTATTGGTGCAACATAGCCAGTGAAAAATGATCACATATGATTTTGTTCTATTTTTATGAGAACGCGCTGTTATTTTCATTCCAATGTAGTCTCTTCATCTACTATGTCTTTCCAGCTCAGCACAGTTAATCTCATTTTCAGATATAGTTTCTCCATTCATACTTCATTGGGATGTTCTTCTTTTTTGTAGATTCTATTACAAGATGGTAAGTCTGAGCGTCTGACTATTAGGGCCAGTTCAAATGCTGCTTCTGTTCAGGATGCTTTGACAGAGTACAGAGTGATTGAATCTTGCCCCCAAGGTAAGCAAGAAATAATGTTCTGTTAAATGCTAATATTTTTCCCTTAGCAAAATCGATAACTCATTTGCTTTTTAGTTCAAGATCAGCAGTGCATCTGAACAGATAATATACTGACATTAGCACAAATTCAAACCAGTAATATTGGGTGACCAAGTCTGTCTTGTTAAAATATGGGAGGAATAGATAACACTACTCCCTTGCAAAAAAAAAGAGGAAGAATGAAAAGATGACACTATCCAGATATTAATGTTCATGATACCTTTGGATGTGGTGAAAAAACTAGACTTGGGAGTTAGGATGGCATACATAGCCTATATTTTGTGCTCCCTCCGTCCCACTGAACAAGGCGCGGTCAAACTTGGCATGGTCTCCAAAACTATTTTTTGACTTGAAATTTCTCATATACTACATATTGGTAGCAACAAAATCATAATCATAAGAAAGCAAATTCAAATACCAATCCAATGATATTATTTTCATCAAATAAAATTTAATTTATAATGAAATAATTATTGGTCAAATATTTAAACAGTTGAATCCTAAATACGTGCGCGCCTTATTCAGTGGAACGGAGGGAGTAGTATCTTTTGTGCTAGTGTTGAAAGAAAAAGGGACAGTAGAAGTTACTGCAAGTAAAGGTATCAGCAATTGGCAAATGGTAATAATATGATATGCAGAAAAGGAATTTGTGTAGAGAACCAGAGAATAGACATGAAGGTGCAATGCAATGTACTACATTCAGTTTGTACAATTAATTTAGTTTTTTAAAATATCTTTTCTGACATTACTGAACGGGTATTCATTGTTAGGTTAAGTTTAGCAACCGAATGGATCTGCAGATAGTACTGGATGAATTTATTTTTTTTGTTATCTGTTCTTATGTATTTGGTAAATAAATTATCAATGTACACCAATCTAAATAGCACAGTAAGACTATACGAGTGCTTCTACTAAAAGTAGTTCATGCTAATATGATGCGGATATCTTATAGTTTCACTTTCACACCGCTAGGATATTTTTAAGGCAGTTGTGTTTCAATATGTTGTTGAAAGTCGCTAATGATTGTAGGGTACACTTGGCTAGAACTATTTCCTCGTACTGGAAGAAAGCATCAGGTAATTGTTTTATCTCTGAACAACATGGCTTTTGTTTGACTGCTTGCATGATATCATAATCACATTAACCACTAGAAATCTTGATCCCCTTTCTACTTGAACTCACGCAGCTCCGAGTTCACTGTGCAGAGGTTCTTGGAACCCCAATTGTTGGGGATTACAAGTATGGACGGCAAGCGCATCAGAAGTGGATGCCTCTTCCCCTGCCACGGACAATTGATGAGGAACTGCTCAGGAAAAGGAAGCTTCCCTTTGGGCTTGTTGTGGGTGGCGGAAGCATCGCTGAGGAGCAACCTCAGCTTCATCTACACTGCAAGCAAATGGTTCTTCCTGATGTCTCAGTGGCTCTTCATAGGCTGCAGTCTTCAGACGTTAATCCTGATTTCTCAGATCTTGAGAAGCTCAACTTTGTTGCTCCACTGCCGTTGCATATGCGGTTGAGTTGGGAGATTTTGAAGTCTGTGAAGATTTAAGAAATTTTTTTAAAAAAATTCTTGTCTCTCTCTCTCTCTGTATGTTCTGCATATTTACCACAATGTCTGCCTCTTCTTTTCAAGGTGGCTTTTTCTTTGTGGTAGCTACTAATACCATTCTCCTAGGAAAGATTCAAAGAGAGGTCCTGCTTTACTACTCATGTTTTTTTTTAGCGTAATCAAGCCGTGATTTTGAACACCAAGGTTGAGATTTAGTTTCGTTGAGTTTGGAAAACCCAGGTAAAATACCCATGGTACTATAACCTATCCATTTATTGTTAAGCATACATGGAATTCTCTTCTTTTTGGTGTAATCTCTATATAAGTTAGATATAAAGTTGCATATATTATTGTAATACTTATATACAAGTTATATTATAGTTATAATATAGTTATACCGGAATTATATTACAATTATACTATAGTTAGATTTGAAAGTTTTTTTCCCAAAAAATTGTCGATAGTTTTCTAGAGAGTCCCTTTAAAGAAAATCAAACTTGTTAACTTTTTGCTAATGATTATACTAACAATATCCATGCTAAGTATTATGCATGTTATATCATTAGATTCGTACTTTAAAATACTTTTACGTGATGTCAATTTTGCCACAACGTTGTGTTGCTGTGGCACTGAAAAATATTTTTGTCGATCAGTAGAGTATGAAATAAATTAGTGATTAAGGTATATCATTCAAGACCATGTAAAAAAAGTTATTGATATAATTTGGGACAGGGAGTAATTGTTGGTCCAAATCTTGTCCTAATAAAATAAAACACGCCTTATTTTTTTTAACAGAAAAAAACTCTGTTTTTCTTCACACCTTTAGAACAAAATCTGTACGCACTTTGTCCAACCATCGTATTACAAGATGGCATCCCTGAGAATCTGGCTGTTACTGGTTTTTATTTCAAGATCTAGTACGGACAACATACATTTTAGTTTGTGGTATCTTGTGTTCTAATGCTGCAAAAAATAGCAACAGTGGCAGCCAGCATGCAACTCCAAACATAATAATCAAATGGTGCAGAAAAAGGATTTATGTATAGCACCATAGCTTATGCATCGGAAAGTAAAATGTAAAGTTAACACACATATGTTTTCTACTACTATTATTGTGGTATATTTTAGTTTTCTAACATTATTCAAGATATGCCGGGTTAGTCTTCCGGAGATGCTTCTAGGGGTAGGGTTGTGTATTTAGGGTGAGAGTGCGCGTGTTGTGAGCACCAACGTTTGTATTGTGTTTCTAAAAAACAAAATGAGTGTAGCTCAACTAGTTAGTTTCCTTGTAGTGGAACCAACCCACCTGGTTTCAAGTCCTACACTTGGCACGGGTGCTCGTATTTACGGCTAATTTCTTTCAGTTATAGGCGATATACCCGTCGACAGTGAAACGCCTATGATAACTTCGTCAATCTTGTCAATCTCAAGGCTAATTTCTTTCAATGATAGGCGATATACCCGTTGACAGTGAAACACCTAACACCGTCAATCTTGTCAATCTCAATGTGTTTGTACTATATTTCTAAAAAAAAAAAGACTAAAGTGAAGCCGTAGAAGTATGCAGGCTAATTTTTATTATCTTTTTATAAGGTAAAAGAATTATATAGGCTCAATTTTATTGTTTTTATTATCGTTTTTAAAGTAAATGAATTTTCAGTGCCATTGAGAGACTGGAAATGCTTCAACTAAAAGAATTCCATGCTAATATGGCGTAAATTTTACTTGTTTTTTCACTTAAACTAATCACTGTTAATGTCTCCCTTTGAAAGATTCGCTTAAACTAATCACTGTTAATGTCTCCCTTTGAAAGATTAAGATTCGTAGTAATATTAGGATGTGTCACATATGGTACTGATTGATTTTTTATATGACAGAGGGAGTAGTTACGATATGTTTTTCAGTTCTTTTAGGTGGAGAACGCGGGATTTCAAAATTACAGCAAAATCACTAGAAGCCAAATCTTTGTGCTGAAGGAGAAACCTGATGGCAATAGTTGTTACGTAATGCTACGAAGGAGTGTAATGGGAAATATCGGAACCTGCATTTATTAAAGCCGTCACCACTCGAAGGTATAATCAAATCAAGCATAGAGCATCGCTAAGAACATGACTTGCGCTCCAAAAAAAAATGTGGGGAGATGCAGACACATACCGTTACAGCGAAGTAATAATATGGCAACAGGTAATTACACCTACGCTGTACTCTTTGACAGGCGGTACTGCTTAAGTCGTCAGAAAAATCATGGTTTCAAGCTAAAGCTAAAGGCGCTCAAACATCAGGTGCATTACATCAAGGTTACTACTTCAGTGGTTTCAACCCTAGAGAGGCTCGGAGCTTGTTCATTTCTATAATCTCTGGGTCATTTGGATCTGGTGCATTTCCTTCACCCTTCTTCTCTTTCTTTTCCTTTCTCTTCTTCGGCTCATCTCTTGAGCCACCATCCTCCGCATGACCTCGAGGACTGGCACTACCCCGATCACGCCTCCTACGGTACTCTCCATCTTCTCGGTCTCTTTCTCGTCGATCCCTGCTCCTGCTCCTTGAACGGCTCCTGCGCCTCCCACGGTCTCTGTCCCAGCGTTCTCTTTCCCTGCCATCCCTATCTCTTGCTCGGTCCCTATCTCGACTGTAGTCCTCATCTCGTATGCGATGACGGTCTCGATCCCGATCCCGATCCCGATCTCTATCCCTGTCTCTATCTCTTTCACGGTCTCTATCTCGGTCTCTTTCCCGTCCCCTACCATAATCCCGATCTCTGTCGTAATCTCGGTCCCTGGAATACACATAAAAAACAGAAGCATTTCAAAATGCGGTCAAATCAACAGATATCAATAGCTATTGCAAGTATTACAAATAGAACAGCAGGTCCCAATTTATGATAAACAAATGAAGGTATTCCGCAATATATTTAGCATCAAAACAAGTGGTGCCATATTAAGATGGCACCAAACTTTAGTATGCACATAGAAATGTTCTTACAGCATATGTTGAGCTGTACTTGCTCAAGAATCCAACATTAAAAAATTTCGAGGTTGTTCACATTCTATTCTCCCTAACAATATAATTCGCACAGTTCATGCTGTCAAAAGCTGAAAGTACAGCCAAAGCAGCAGGAACCTGATACAAACTGAAACATGAACTAAAACAAATCAGCTACAAAAAGGCAAAACGTTTAGATTTGAAACATTTTATACTTTCTAATTTTTAAGCTGTCCAACCCACCTTATAGTTTATAAGTTGTTAATCTGTCCAACCCATCATACTTCTCACTGCACACTGTCAGTGCAGAGAAACCTGGCAGGGTCATGATCACATTCACTCTAGGAAGCGGCTGACCTACCAATGGCTCTTGACGATAACATGCCATGGCAGTAATTAGTCCATGCAACAGTGTTATGTCACAGGAACAGCTTCCAGTATGCAATTAAGAAAACCAAATGCAGCTCAGGTAGACACCGCTTCAATCAGCAATAGCTAGACTACACTACAGGGAATCTCTTTTCAAATTATGCCCATGAAAACTTTTCCACTGCTCTTTTTTCCTATATTATTAAATCAGAATTATAAAAACAAGCTTCTTTACTGAACAAATGAAGGGTAATGTACATTCAACACAGGTTAAAATATGGAGCAGCCAGTCGATTCATTTGGAACGGATGAACTTGATTTTAAAATTTAACAATATGCAACTTACATTAGTAGTTGAAACGGAATGCCTTTATTTAGTTGAACTTTCGAAAAAAATATTCAATCAAGCATGAACCAAGTTTCCATTTCGACAAAGCTAAACGAGCTAAGGATTTTCTCTTTTTTCCATTCATTATTATTCTATTTATTTTGACCTCCATGCTTCGGTCAAGATATTGGGCATTAAAAAAAAAGAAAGAATTAATCAGACGTGACACGAAAAAAACAAATCTTTTGTAGCTCATCATTTATTGGCAAAAATAGAAAGAAACAATAGTAACGTGACCATATTTAGCAAAAAGAGACCATATACAGTTTTTAGTAAGCTTTGGAATATCATGGCATCACTCACATCTTCAAAACTAGTCTTCTTCATCAGCCGTAAAGACAGAAGGTAAATGAATTTTACTACTATGTGTTTGAAAAGCAATAACAAATGCCTGAGCTCACCAGAAATATTTTGCGTCAATAAATCAAGAAACATCAGTAAAACTGTCATGGGCATGAGCCTCCCATGACCAGGGCAATCATCTAGCCAAAGGGAGGCAATCTCAACCTCAGTGCACGTGAGGAGCATGAGGCACGTGATTACGATGCATTGGAGGAGGTTTCCTTAGATAGGGATTTGATTAGATTAGTAGGTTATCAATGCCAACTGTATAATGGCTATTGAGCTAGTCCTTTGGAATGAAGCAAGGAGGAATATTTAATCTAATCACTCTCCAGTACTCTTCATCCCAGTCCTCCCTTTATCCCCTAGCAGCCAACACTGCACAGCTACCTCCCAGTGGTTTTTACATCACAAACCTTAGCACATGATAAAAATTAAAAAGATTTCTGCAGAAATTGACCCAGAGCTTTTTATTAAAAGTTGAAGCTGATTTTAAATTTTAGAATTTGATTTTAGGACCAATCATAGCCTCAGGGAACTTATTCCCCACTTCCATGGCCCAACTCTTTTTTCATGATTGCTAAGACAAGAAAAAATCTACCTAAAACTATTCTTAAAAGATCAAACTTCACAATAGTTTCAGCTTTTTAAGAGCTGTACCACGCCTTCATCTATTGTAATGAGTAACAACAACGGAAGGTGGATTCCTATTCTCTGGTTACCAAAACAAAGATAGAGAAATGACTGTGCCTTAAAGTTTCACTTGATATTGCCCAAGCTAATATGACTTGTGCACGGAAGCAGTAGCATAATCAACATCAGTAAAACAAGGTGGACTGTTCGATCCTCAACCAGTTGAAAGGTATTTAAAACACTCTTGGTTTGAACGTTAAGAAGCACTCAGATAGTCAGATGATCAATAGAATGGTTTCTGGCAAGTATTAACAGCTTGCTATCAAATGAACATGTCCCAGTTAGCTCTCACCTCCTGATTCTCATTTCCATAAAAGGAAATATCTATGCTACACAGATCAAGAACTTCAAGAAAAACTAATGATAACTCAGTAACTACCACGCCTATAGGCAATTCACATAAATTAGCATACCTGTGGTGTCTTTCATGTTTCCTCTCCCTGTCTCGATCTCTAGTAGGGCTCCTTCCACGATAATGATCATGCTAAAGATAGTAAAAGAGAAGTCAACACATATGGTCAATAAAGTATGTGGT